GACGATTCGATGCTGCCGTTTATTTCCTCTAGCTCCGAGGTTGTCACGCATCGAGAAATAACAGGGTGGCCAGCCGTGACGCAAATTAATAAAATCATACAATGTAAGCATTAATTTTGGACGAGTTTTCATTACGTGATTTCATTACGATCGGTCTAGCCACCGGCGTCCACCTTCTTTGAATAATATTTGCAATGAAACAATATTTTCGTGCTTATTTGTATGCTTCGGCAGTGATATTATCATTGTAATTATTTGTTGATATCGATACGATCGGAATATATTGAATTAAAAAACAGCGTGTGCGTGTCTTTCATACACATTATGATTTCAATTTAAATTTGTAACAAAAATTCATAAGAATCTCACGTGACCATATTCCTGGTAAGAATGCTTCCTCTCAATTTTCTCTTTCTTTCGGCTAACAATGCTCATTATGACCGTTGAAACGTTTCCATGGTAATATGTTATGTTCAAGTATTCGCGCATAATTTAATTCTTCATTAAGTTCCTCGTTCTTCGTACTGAATCGTCCGTCTTCCTATCTACCTACACTGCAGCTCAAAAAATGTTTAACGTTTTGTTAGAACTTTTTATTTATAATATTTTTAAACATTGCAACTGTATTTAATACTCGAGTTAAATGCAGAGTGGCAACATGGTTTTAGCAACGATTATTATTATCTTATTTTTATAATTCATGTTGCTTAGATGTATTTGCCTGTTAGTAAAATCAAGGCTCAAAGACAGTAAATATATTAACTCCAACCATAAACATTATCCATTGAATCAAGGGAAATTGTATTAACATATTTGTCGTATTTCATAAATACATGATATTTCAGTTTGAATTTTTACCTATGGAAGACGGACTGAAGCTCAAACAGTAAAATCTCTGAACACTTTTTATACTATCCTGTATTATTTTGCTAATCACGTTCCAATTGTCCTCAATTGCCAACACTGTTAACAAAATTTCAGCGAAAAGTCAAGACGAATCAGGACCATACTCTGCCAGAATTCCATTACAATGTTCTTTCCTTTGGCTAACAACGTTCATTACGAACGTTGAAACATTCACGCGGTAATATTCGCCGGGACAAAGGAGTCCTTAGGTCAAGTGGGCGCCCGTTTTCGTGGCCCGGAGGAATTCTGTTAACCCTAGCCCCAGAAGAGGACTCTGGCTACCGCTTCAGGGTCAACGTCACAGGCACACGGATTCGTAACACGTAAGTTGAATGAATTCAGGAAACTCGCGGCCCCGGTTCGCGCACGTGTCGGACGTTCAGCTGGTTGCTGGGATCAATTGTGCAAGAAACAAGAGTCGCGTCGGCTCCGTACTTGACTCCGAGAGCGCTGAGGACACCAATAGCCGCCGGCCACGGCGAATGCAAATTCGAAAATGCCTCATTTTCGTTCGCGAATAGCATTATTTTGAACGCCTCGGGCTACGCCGCAGTCAGAAGTCCGGGGCTTCTCTCTTCTCACCGACTCGCGCACCGGCTACCGCGGCAGAAACGCTTCCTTTTTTCTGCTCGAGGAGAGGAACACGTTGGGCTCCGGTGGTCTTGATTGAGGGGAATATATGGAAATGC